TATATATATATATATATATACTCATATACTATTATAAGTATTAATCAGTTACATATATATCCATCATCACATAATCCTAACCATAATTCTTTAAATTATAAAACTAGATAAAAAAAAACAAGTTTATTATTACACTGATTAAAAGAAAACATATTCTTACATTATAATAAAGGTAATTCTTATAAAATGATTTAGATAAAATTTAATTACTTCTTTTAAAAATATTAAATTCGACCACCTCTTTCTTAATAAGTTTCACACATGATGAAAGTGGTCAAAAGTATAAAATCTATTAAAACTATATATTATGTAAGAGAAAGATAATGGTAATTTATCATCAAAAGTTAACAGAAAAATATTGTTCTTATTGAAATTTCACCATAAGTTCTTATCGAAGATAACAATTTGCTTATGTGAATCACTCTTATTTAAAATTATCATGCAAAGGTCATAGAAATTCCATTGCGTCTTTAATTAATAATTAATGAATCCGCGTTTTTGTTGTATTTGACGTGGGAATAAAGAAAGAAAACATAGTTAAAAAAATGTGCATAGAAAACGGCCAAAAGATTCTTTAGACTGTTTTTGTTCCAATGTACATAGAGAGATTCTTGGAAATGTAATTATTTGAAAAGAAATAATAGATGGGTGAAAGTGTTTTTTAATTATAGAATATTAATTTATTTTCTCTTTTTAAATATGGTTATTTTAACTAGTCTCAGCATGAAAAATAAGATGATGATTATGAAAATAAAAATATTATAAAACCAACCAGTTTTAGTAAACCAATGTTTTGTTAAATTTAAAAAGTTCGATAATATAAATTAAATGAAAATAAAACCATGTTTAAGTTATTTATTTATTTATTTCTTTAGAATATAATAGTGTAATAGATAATAGATATATTTGTTTATTGATAAGTAAAGTAGAACGCCGCCTTAAGCAGATAGAGGAAGATTGGAGTAATCTGGACATCGTTGGTGGCAGTTGGAGGGTAGGTGTCTGCTTCTAACTTAGTGGACCACATTACTGTTCTCTTTTTAACTGCTAAATTTAATGTTTTTCCTTTTTTCGATGAAAGCTTTGCTTATCTATAATGAAATAAGTATATTTATTCATTAAAATAATAGTAGATATTCTCTAATAGTTTATATATATATCTAATTGGATTATTTTGCTGTAAAAAAAGATACACTAGATTTTCTTAATTCTAATAAAAAAATTTGTTTTACTTTTTCTTTCTTTATAACTTAACATGTAAAAATTTCCTTACAATATAACTCCTTTTGATAACCTCAATTGATTAGATACATTTCTAATTATTGACTATAATTAAATAACTTAACATGAAAAATAATCACTCTCTTAATTTGTTTGTTTAAAACAAATAAGATTTATATAATTAAATATATTTCATATATATTCTAAATAAAAAGTATAAAATTTATATAACAAAAAGTGAGTTGTTTGTTTTTTATCATAATAATCAACTCATCTCAATATATTCATAGAATCATATATTAAAACTTAAAATTTATCAGAACAACATCTATATTGAAAAGAATATACAGCAAACAGTGATAACAAGAAAGAAATTTTACCAACATATCTCCAAGTTTAACTTATAATGCTGGTAAGTTTGTTACTTTACAGATGTAAGTAATAAATTTGATTGTTAAGTATATATACAATAAAACCAATACTAATCATAGAGAATACACCAATAATTTTTTTTATTGCAAATATAGTTATTTATAATCAATTTTTAAAATAAAAGATTATAAAAGGAAATTGATATATTAAATATTAGATCTGATTAGAGGAGAAACAATGCACAGATAAGAGAGATTATATAATAAGAAAAAATGAATGATTATTTAAAAATAATAAAAAGTGATTTAGTAGATCTAATAGCATTCATAGCCTAATCTAGTTTAATTGGAGTCTTAATCCTGAAAAATTACGTGACACCACTAACTTTTTCTTCACTGACTTCTAGATCTATACATTATTAAACATCCTGAATTGGCATGCCATATAATGTGATTTATTCCTAATCTTGTTCAAGAAGTGAAAAGTTTAAAACGTGTGTTGACCGGAATTAGAAAAAACGTGCGAACATGGAGAAGGTGAAGATCCACGCGTCGAGTCCTATTTAGTAAATTGGAAAGAAACATAATAGTATGAACAAGAAAGGATTACTTTGTCCTCTATTATGCAAAGAGAGTTAGAGATAAAATTGGGTACGTCGTTAATTTTCTAACTTCAAGAGATAATGTCTCTTGCTCCAATTCTTAGTACTTTTTTTTTCTACATCATTCCATGTAAAAGAAAACCTCATATCCATGTCTTACCTAATACGCACACAGGTAAAACGAATCAAACCACAAATTATTGTTAATGACACTTTGGCATTTAGCAATGTTAGGACCATTTGCATTCAATGCATTGGATATAAATGCGAGTAAATAAATGAACAGAGTCAACTATCATTTTTAATTAATTTACAAATGTAATATATTAAAAAAATACATAATTGAACATATATAAGTAATTAATCACAATGTGTAAAATGCTCAAACCTCATGCTTATCTATAAACCATACTTTATACACCAAACATCCTTCAAATAATTTCATGCTATATTTTATAACAGAAAAGTTACTGTGATATTTTTTCTCTCAAAATTATTCTCTTAATATAAGGAGGACGATGCATGCACTTACATGCGTGAAACGCAATACAATTTAAGTGTACAGACAGCGTGTCCGTGTTTGGTTCCGCGTTTTCTTGCATCTTTGATGTGAAAATTCAAAGCTATAAATACACGTTTGGCCTTAAGTTAGAAATTGACGTGATTTTAACTGGAAATGAAACCAAACAGCTTCTAATTCTTCAAGTGGTCACTGACTCAACTTCAAATTAGATCCACATTCTATACCATCACCTAACATAATTATTAATTAAAAAACTATAATATAAATATATTAATTATTGGGCACCTTGAAAATGAATGAATCGGTGTTGAGTTCCACTGACAATGAGAAAGATGCAAATCGAGGATTCAACTGAAATTAACAATGAGAAACTATGCCCACCACTTGCTGGCGGACCAAATTAGATAAATGTATTTTTGATTATTTTCAATTATATAAAATTATCGAATGGAATAAATGAATAAATAAATAAATTGAATTGAAAATCTGCAGCGTAGAAAGTACAACCTAAACAGGAGAACTGGCCCTGTAAGATCCAACAAAACTCCAAGCACTATATACAAAATCAAGTAATAGCACTCAAAATTCTCCCAATAATTGGAAAATCAAGATAAACAAAAATCATGTCATAAAGAGAAAATTCAACCCAGTTTTACTGAAATTGAGGGATTTCAATTTTGGGAATCACAAAGAGACGCTGCTTCTTCATCACAGGGTGAGGGCTCTCGACCTCGTCTTCTCCTACCTTCGTTGAAAATTCGGGAAAAGCCGGGATATTGAGATCAAAATCACGGTGGTGGGGGTGGTGGCCGTGACTCACGGTGTGAGTGGACCCCACAGAGGCGGTTACCACACTGTTTCCGTTACCGTTATTACCTTCGTAGTGACAACGTTTGTGTCCACCGAGAGCCTGTCCGGTGGGGAAGGACTTGTGGCAGATGGAGCACTCGTGGGCACGACCGCCTCCGGCGGTAATGACGGTGCTGGTGGCGGTGATGCCAGAGGAGGTGGGCTGGTCGTCGGGCAAGGCGAGTTTACGGTGGCTGGCCTTGTGTCCTCCGAGAGCTTGGTAAGAGGGAAAGGTTTTGTCACAAACAGAGCATTTGTAGGTGAGCTTGGAGGAAGGATCTGGGGTGGGTAGTTGTGGCGGTGGTGAAGCGGTGATGTGGCGGTGGGTTGGTGTGGGATCGGTGGAGGTGGCGGCGCCGCCACGAGCGAGCATGATGAGGCAGAGAGCGAGATACTCTTCCTCGGAAGGGTGGTCGCGGGAACGCTTGGAGCGCTTGCGTTTTGCCCATGGGATGGTTGAGTCGTGAAAAGGGAAAGACGGAGTGGTTGCTGTGGGTGAGTTGAGAGCTTGGAGAGCCATGTGAGTGAGTGAGTGTTTGATAGGATACGAATAAGAGAAAGAAGAATGAAAAGAATTGAAGGTGTGAGAGTGAGTCAGGAGTGAGAGTGGGTTTGGTGTTTTTATAAGGAGAGGAAGAATTGAAGGAAGTTGCGTGACGAGAGTGGTGTGGTGTGCAAGGTAAGATTTTAAATATAAAATCATTTATTTAAGTTGTTTATTTTGGAAATAAAAGATAGAAAAAGAGGTCGATTATAGTGGAGCACGTTTTGGGGAGTTTCTTGGTGGGCAAGAGTGAGCTGAGGTGGGTCAAAGAGGTGTCACTGTGGGAGTGTGAGAGTAGACTGCTTCCAAATTCAAAGCTCCTAGTCAAAATCTAAAACAGAGAAACTTCCACCCAAAACAGACTTCTTCTTTCTATACAGCAGCCTCCACACGTAAGCTCTACTTACTATTTACACACACTGTTTCTTGAAATACATTCAAATTACATTTTTTTTATTTAAATAATTTCAAAAAAAAATCAAATCTATTTATTCACTTTCTTTCAAATCTTTTTTCCAATCTAAACAAAACCGTAAACTCCGATCTAAAGACAGCCGTAAAGAATCTTCAACCGAACCATACTTTTCTTTGTCAACATCTTTTCGGCCGACCTTTAAAAGCTCTGTTATCTTGCAATTTGGAAACTCATCGTTCATTCTTTTTATTTTTCTTTTTTTTCTTTTACTTCTTCAACCTCTCTCTCGTTTCATATTCAACACTCCATGTCGGAATTTACATCACAGAACATTTTCGCTTTCTTTAATTCTCACAGACTTTTTCGTAAGCTCTGACTTACTACTAGGTTAACATTTTAACATTTCAACATACTTTTTTACTATAAATTATGTTGTTAGATTTATTTATAAATGAATAAATTATCTAGGTAATTTATTTCAATTTTAAATATTCATATAATATATTAAAATAATATTTTTTTAGTTTTAAGTATATTCTTTTTATAAATGGGCTCTCCTAAATTTTAACCAATTCCTCAATTATCAAATATTTTATGATAATTTATTCTTTTTTGTGCTTGATTATATTTGTATTTCCATGACATTCTTAAGATGATGTTACTTATATATTATATTATGTTGTATTGTATATCAGTAATTCTATATGTGTAATGAGAGTACAATTATTGCTTTTGATGAGCTCATAAAAAAAAAACCTGGAAGTTTGTGTTATTAAAACGATATCATTGATAAGCAAAAGTAAATATAGTGATTATTTTAACTGTACTAATACTTAAAAGTTTTCTTATTTGATTGATTTACATATAAATATACATTAATCATGTCATGATAGAAATTAGACATAATTTATAAAAGCCCAGTTGTCTTATTGTCTTGTCCCTGAACTGATTTAAAGTTGCAATCTTGTGCACAATAATTTAAATATAACGTGTTATTGTGTCTTAACATGTAATATTATAATGTTTATTGTTATAATTATAAAAATAACTATCAAATAACATTTTGGAGATATCCAACTACTATGATGTTTTAGAAGAAGAAAAATACAATTAAAATTTCTTTCATCAAGAAATACCCAGAATATCACTGTATTATAGATATCATTATCAAATCACTTGTTGGATTTTTCTTGTCAATTTAAAGAAAGATGAATGTGAAACATGATATTTATCTGAATTTTAAATGGTACATAATTTTGTAATGGTAATCTGAAAATGAATAAAACTAGCATATATACCTAAAACTTAATAATACTTATTTTTTTTATTTTCAAAGTTATATGATTAAAAAAACATGAAAAAAAATATTAAATATGAGATGTTTGGTGTATGAGGCAGTATGATGTGGTATGTTCTTAGAGAGGTATAGAAAAAAAGAGGAAGGAAGAAGCATCTAGATGTTTGTGTACTGTGTGGGTTGAATATGTGTCACTAAAACACAAGTTGAGTAGAGTGTAGCATCCTCTCACCTAACACAACATTAACCATGTGTGAGAGAATATAAGAAAAAAAGGGAAAAAAATAATTGAAGATTTATTGGTTTGTTTTTTCTTCATGAAATTCTTTTTTTAGGAGAAATATTTACTAAGATGTTGTGAGTTCATCTTTCTAAAATGATCTAAAGAATCAAATTTATTTAAATATATATACAACATCGTCAAAATGAGACTCAACACAATATAACTAACACAATATAACTTTGTGTGAGTTGTTTCTCACTTAAATCATTTACAGATTTGTTTGATTTTTTATATAAAACATACAAACATTAAAATTTTATAATTAATATTTATAATCCTAAATTATTTTATATCTTTTTATATTTATTAATTTCTTAGTAAAAATTAAAATTAACTCTTTTAAATTTTACTCTAATTTAATCTTTCAATTAAAAAAAACATAAATTTAACTTTTTTTAACTAAAATTTTATTAAGATAATTTATTAAGTTTATCTGTTTTTTCAAATGTATTTATAACTTAATATTAAAGTTAAAATTGTAAAATAATATAAATATTATCATAAAATATTTAAAATATTAATAAAATTAATAAAAATAAATTAAGATAAATTAAAATATTAAATTTACAGAATTTTAAATTAAAAACTAAATTAAAGCTTCATTTCCATTTTTGTTAAAAGTTACGAAAAACACATATTTTATCTAATAATAAACTCATCTATCCTTGTTTACATTTGTCACAAACTTTATGAGTATCAATGCATGAATTCGTCACTACCATTATTTGATATAAATCTTTTGCGCTCTAAAATGGATAAATATAAGTGTATCATACATACCCACGGTTCAAGAAAGACAACGTATGATCAACCTAACCGGACGGGTCATTAAGATCATGATCAAGATAAGCTGCAATTAAAGCTACTGGGTTAAAATTGGACCGTGATTAATTTTTCACTAATCTCAAGCCATGGCAAAAACTATAAATACAGGCCAAAGGTAAGTGGTAGGTATGTTGCATTTACTACACATTTATTATTGTTCTATTAAATTACTGAATGATTCACATACTGACTTTGACATCGAATGATCTTTGATAAGTTTTTTCCCTAGCGGAAGAGGAAGACAACGAAGTTTGAAGCAAGACCAAACGATAAAAAGACAAAATGTAAAGATATCCAATTACTCAACTCACAACCAAAACAATAAAAAATCAATAAAAGAAATTTATGCATCATTAATTAAAAAGTAATTAATGTAGCTGACAGTGTGCATAGTTTAATGAATGAGACATAAAAGGGTGGGCCGAGCAACAAGAAGTCCCAATTTCATTCCTGGAAAATTCCATCTTTTAAACTTTAGCGTGTAGAAAGTAAAAACTGAAAAGAAAACTTTATGAATTGGAAAGCTACCAGAAGCATCTGTTATAGTTAACTCACTTCTTCTTTCTTCCTTCTCCACCAATTTTCAACTATCTATTGTGTGAATCACTTTAGAGTGAAATATTTAATATTAAGTTTAAAATAGATAAATAAAATTATATTATAGCAACCTTATTTATTATTTAAAATAATAATTCAATTGGTTAACAAATAAGTAATTAATTAATGTAATGGTAAAACTTTTTAACCTTTAAAGAGATCGAAATCAAGATTGTGTTCACTTGTGATACTCATTCGTGTTCGTTTTCAATAATTTAAAGGCAACGAAATAAGCAGATTTGCAAAATACATTATTTTTTCAATCTTGCTTGAATGGAGATGATGGGAGAATGTGATATAAAGTTTTACCATATTACTCTCATCAAAATCACGTTGATTATAAATGCATTGTTAAGTTTTAGCAGTAGAAATCGATCGTAAATAAAATGGAATTGATTATATGTAGTTTAACAATAATAAAATAAGTGTTGTATGTTCATAAAACCAAAATAAAATAATAATTGACAAAAAACCATTTTCATATTAAAAAAAGTTAACAAAATATTGTGAATGTAGAAAAGATGCATGGAAAAAGTATATATATATATATATATATATATATAAATGATAATAGTAATAATTAATAATTAATAATAATAAATAATATTATTAATAGCAATAATTAATAATAATAATAATAATATATTAATTTTGATTATAAAGGTAAAATTGTAATATTATATTTTAATTTATTAAAATTTTATTTTTTATCTATATCGTACTTAAATTACTCATAAACTTTCATAAACTTCATCTCAAATCCATCTACATTCATCTCTAAATCTCTTAAAAGAAATACAAAACTTTAACTCCAAATTTATCAATTAACTCATGCTCAAATCTATTTTCACAAAATAAACTTGTTAATAAGATCTAAACAAAAATTTACTCATATTACATAAACTAAAGATATATTTTATTTATTTAAACATAAACATTTACATACTTATCCGTTACTATACAAAATATCTCATAGGAAGCATAATTGTAAAAAATATTTATAACTATCATTTAAGCCCTTAGTTTATGAATTGACGCTCTCTTCCTCTAAAATTAAATGTTATTTTTATGACTCAGGAATTTTTTTAAAAGTCTCACTCTTCAAAGTCTCATATAAAGTGGGTTGGAGCAAAGTTAGGATAGGATGGTCCCAAAAAAATAAATTATTTCATTTATTTTTAGTTATTTCTTTAATTTGTTTTGCAATATCTTTATCAGTTTCCATGTTTTAAATTTTCTTTTTCTTTTTCACTTCAAACATCTTTCTACAATATTGAATATTTAAGAAAAATTCTATTTTAAGAATTTTATTACACAAGTAGTTTTTTATTATTTAATAAATAAAAATATTTTTTGATAGAAATTAGTGTAATAATTATTTTATACTGATTTTGAAAAATATAAGTCAATTTATATATATATTTTTTAATCATGAAAACTTATTATTCCTAAAAAATATATAAATATTGGTTTTATAAAAATTTATTCAAAATAATGTTTTAATTGTAAGAATATTTTAGATACATAATTTCATTATTTTCAAAAATTAAAAATATAATATATGACAAGTTTGTTTAAGGTTTAAAATAAAATAATTTTAAAAGAAAAAATGTTCAAAATAAATTACTTTTTATAAATTCAAAAATTATTT